TGACAAATATGTATATATACACAGACATATGTGACACGTGTATATATACATCTATACATGACAAATATGTATATATACACAGACATATGTGACACATGTATATATACATCTATACATATATACATCTATATATGAGAAATCTATGTGATAACTCTAGATGAGGAACGTGACATGTCTGACAATTATGTGTGAGAAATACATATGACCAATATCAATATTTGCACACATATATTTGTGTGTATATACTATATAGAAGTCTGTATTTGCATATGCAAATCCGTGTACATCTATTTGTACATATACCTACCTATCGATATATCAATGTATCTCTACTCCAGGGCTAGGAACTTAACAATCACAGCTTCTTGAACTGACTCTCATTCTCTCTCTTTAAGTCTTTGCCAGCCAAGGGTTTTGTTTTTTTGTATGTGTGCATTGTGTGTGGTTGTGGCTTGCTTTTTTCCTTTTGAAACACCTCCTTAAGATCAGGAAGTCATATTGCCCATCCCCCCCCCACATTCCCATTCCCCCCCCCTTCCTGTCACCAGCCAGAAGCTTTTATTTGTCTTCCTGTCCTGTGATTGCCACATTAAACAATAACCCGGGGATGATTCATTCGCTCCTGCGTCTCTAGAGCTATCCACAACAACAAAGAACACACACACTCACACACTCACACACTCAGCCGAAATCTATGATGTCTTGGCTGGGGGGGGGGGGGCTGATGGGGGGGATGGAAGGGTGGGTTGGTGGGGGGGCTGATGGGGGGGATGGAAGGGGGGGTGGTGGGGGGGGTGGTAAGGCATACTTGGCTGCTTTATTTCCTGGGCTGGGGAGTGGAGGGGTGGGGTGGGGCTGGGGGCTGGTGAGCGTGGCCAGCACTGATTACCTTCTCCGGAGTGGGCAGCTGGAGGTGGCCCACCTCCAAGGGGGCGATGAGGGGGACCGTCTGGAAGCCATCCTCTCCCGAAGGTGGCTTGATGCTTTTCTCACCGGGGTTGCTGTTGAACTTCACCATTCTGTCTTCCCACTCCTAAGACGAGCCGTGGAGGGGGGGGAGAGGGGGAGGAGGGGGAAGAGAGAGAGGGAGGGAGGTCGGTTAGAGAGAGAGCTCGGCAGAGCCAAGAGGAGAGGCTGAGGATGGAGACAACAAGACACCCCGCCTGGCACAGCCCCACTGGGGCGCCTTACAATCCACAGGGATCCGTGGATCGTTTGGATCGATGCCTGCTGTGATTTCCCAGGGTCCAGGCCAAAGGGGGAAAAAAAAAAAAGACAAACAACGTCTAGCATCACAAACAGGTCGCCTGGCTTGCCAGGGAGGGGCAGGGGGGAACCCAGGGAAATGGCAGATCGACAGGAAAATGCATAGACCTAGGCAAGCTGAAAAAAAAAAAACAAAAAACAAAAAACCCACATCTCCCAGATCTTCACAGAAGAAGAAAGAGAGCTTCTTGTCAGCGTAGCAGAAAACCTCAAGATTCTGACGTTCCTGCAGTACGATGAAATTTCCCCTTGCCACCTTGCTTGCTAATATATATATATATATATATAATATGCTGTATATAATATACTATATATGTAATATATGTGTGTATGCATATATGTATGTGTGCATGTATGTGTGTATGCATGCATGTATGCATGCATGTATGCATGCATGTATTTCCCCTAAAATCCATGTATGTATGCATGCATGCATGCATGTATTTCCCCTAAAAGCCAACAGATACATTTCCATGTCTCCAAACAGATACATTGCCAGGTCTCCAGGTCTATCTGTTCCTCGAGCTTTGATTGTCCACCGCCCCCCCACACCCCAAGCCCAGGCTGCTCTACCCCTGATTCCGTCCTGCAAAATCTCTTATTTCCTCAAGAGCAAAGGCCATTTAGTTTTTTTGGGGGGGGGGTAGGTGGGATGGGGGGAGGGAGGGAGGGTTGCATGGGAAGTTAACAATCCCCCCCCTCTCATTTGCAAGCTGGCCATTGAAATAAACAAATCACCGTCTCCTCCTCTCCAGCTTCTCTCCTCCCCACACACCCCCAAATGCAAAGCCCAGCGCCTCTGTCTTTCTGTTAATCCTTCCATTTGACAACAATAAAAGGCTTTGGGGGGGAGGTGGGAAGGGGTTCCATGGTGGGGGGGGTACACCAAGGATACCTCAAGAAGAACCCCGAGGAAAATAACTACTTACTGCGTTGTGCTCTTGGGGGGTTCCAGGGAAGAGGAGGGGGTGCGGAGGAGATTCCAGAGACCCAGGCCAGGCGCCCTCCGTCCTCAGCCCCGCGAGCTGTCAGCGCTGGTGCGTGCGCCTGGATCCCCGGCTCCTGCCAGAGAGGCGCCAGAGAGACTGGAGGGCCAGCCCGCTGCCAGCCTGCCAATTTGGGGGAGCCCCTCCCACCGGGGACGGGCGCCCACACCTTCCTGGCTTCTGGCACCACCTCTCCATTCTCCTGTAGGATCGCAAGGACCGCCTGGGAGCCGAGAATGAAAAGAGGTGCTGGCAGAATGGGTTCCCAAACCCACCCACCCCCCCCCAAAAAAAGCACCCCAAAGTATATTGGACCATCTTGAAAGTGGAGCACAAAAGGGGTGCGGCTGCAACGCGGCTGTGTGCGGGTGCAGGGCATCTTGATCCAGGTTTGGCCCGCGGCACCCCCTTTCCATCCTCCTCTTCACCCCATCTTTCCCAGCCCAAGACCGCCCCCCCACACCCTCAGTGCTTGCTACCTCCGTGTTCACACACCCTTCCCTGTCCCTGCCATCCGCCCCTCCCCACACCTCAGCCCCACAGCACAGGCTCCAGCTCCTTCCTCCCTCCCTCCCTCCCTCCCTCCCTCCCTCC